TAAGTGTAATATATTATATGCATATAATACAGTGTTAATGAATACATGTATTGCTAATAAATGTGGCGTTCTGCCTTATTCCCCCTGAAAAGATCCTGTGCAGGACTTTAAGTACAACAACAGGCACGGCCGCCGGGCGATCGGAGAGTCGGTTTGTCCTGCAGCGCTGCGTCACTACGGCTTTGGGACCAAGCCCCTCTCCCGCTCTAGCCAGCGGCACCGGGGAGCTGCATCCCGGTGGGAGCGAGAAATCGGCTCCAGTCGACTTGTCTCCTCCCCTCCCGCTTTGCTAAGGGGGAGAAAATGGCCCCGAAGCCTTTTCTGGCTTTTAAAATTCAGGCCCTGTCTGGGCTGGAAGCTTCAGCCTAATAAACCATTTTAAAAATCCACCTTTGCCTCCCATCCCCTCCCCCTGCCCCCACTATCCCCCTGCCCCTGGGGCGTCCATAGGGCAGAGCCTCTCCTAGCCGCTGCTGCCCTTCTCCCCCCTGCCCCTGGGTGCCTCAGTCCCCCTCCCTGGGTAGCTGTGGGGCTGGATCTGGTCTATTTCTCCCCACACCCCACCTGGGGAGATTGCCCCAGCTGCCACCAAACCTCCCGGCGGGTGGTGCTATGGGGCGAGAGAACTCTGTTCTTGGGGGGCTGCGCTCTGGGGGGCTCCGGCAGCCTAGCTAGGGACCGGGCTGGTTTTCCCACGGGCGGCAGAAGCGCCAGCCGCGTCGGTACCAAGCACCGTTCCAGACAGACGCGGCCGGGTTTACACAGGGGGCGATACAGGAAGAGGTGCCAGGAAGGAATATTTCAGGGCTGGGGCCGTGGCGCGGCCGGGGTTGTGTCTGATTGGGGAAGCAGGCGGTTTTTACGTGGGGACGCCGGGCACATCAGGCTCCTGAACGGGGCCGGCAGCCGGGAAGGTTGAGAGCCACTGGGCTGGTTCGCTCCCGTGGTGCCTCTGGGGTTCGGGGCAGGAGGCTGCTCCATTGGGGGACAAGGCTCTGCTCTGTGGGGTCGAGGGAGATCCGGGCTGGGGGGGGTAAGGCTGGGGGTGGGGGGAGGGAAAACTGCTGGGGGAGGGAGCAGCCCATCCCCCCAAGCAGGGGATTGTCTTGGGTTTTGTGGGAGTACTGTGTGTGCCTCAGTTTCCCTGTGTAACGACGTTGGGGGGGGGGTTGTTGCTGCAGGGGACCAGGTGTGACCTCACCTGGCAGCCGGGACCCAGACAGCGGCCTGGAGATCGGGGCCCCAGCAATGGGTGACGGGGGCCAGCAACGGGTGACCCTGAGGCCCCCCAGCTCGGGAACAGCCGGTTCTGGACAAGGGGCTGAGGGGAGAGGGGTCAGGGGACCTGCGCTGCGGGTCACTAAGCCTGAGACCCCCAGGACCCCCCTGGGCTGGGCCTGGACACTCAACACCCCTCCTGAGACGCTGCAGGCTGGGGGGCGTTGGGGGGGGACCAGGACAAGGGGACGCCCCGCAGGACCCACGGCAGCGCCAGGAGGCTCAGAGGGGCGGTCCCGGGGTGCGGCGGGGCCTAGCCCTGGAGAGCGAGCGGACCCCCGCGAAGGGCGATCACACTGAGGGGGTTCCTCCCGGGGGCCAGGAGAGGGACAACAGCCCCCCCACCCCCAAACAAAGCAGCAGGAGGCTCTGGGTTCTGACAAGTC